ACCGCCCTAAACCCAAGGAGAACCCTAAACCGGGATCCGCCCTGGTCCTTGAGCAAGGTCACCTTTCTCAAACATACATGCAATGTCACTGTAAATGTCCAAGGCAAGTCCATTTCCACGAGTCCTTCCTCTAAGCAACATGGGGTACGCTGGCAAGGAAATTGTCATACCTGCTTGGCTAATGGCTCCCAGCATCTGTCTGCATACTGAGATTTTTTTTTAATAAACAAAGTGTCATATTTTATTTTTTTTTTTTATTTTCTTTTTAAAGAGAGAGAGAGAAAATTTTTTAATATTTATTTTTTAGTTTTCGGTGGACACAACCCGGGCCGCAGGCATGCCAGGCGAGCATGCTACCACATCCCCAGCCCCAAAAGTGTCATATTTTAAACCCTAACCTGTAGTCATATTTTCTTCAATGCTGGCATGGTATTTGGCACATAGAAAGCAGAACAGAATTTTATTGACTGACTGACTCAATCCATTATTACACATGAAGCCCCTCAGTAAATTTCAGCAATACAAAAAGACTGTAAAAACATTTGTCAAGAAGTTTACATTTACTATGTGTATATGAGAAGTGAACAGGTAAGATAATCAATATGCTATATGTTAAGTGTCGTGATGGCATCATACCCAAAGCACAAAAGTTAGATTTGAGCTGCATCTGAAGAAATGGTGAGAGGTGGGAAGAAAGGAAGTGTGTGATGGGAAATGGGATTCCATGCAAAGGGAACAGGATCTGTAACCACAAGTAGGTATGAAAGAGATGGTGTGTTTGTACTTTTATGAAACTTCAATATAAGATGGGGAGAGAGCGACACGAGAAAGGTAGATAGAAGTGGAATATATACCCTTATTAGTGGTCCTTTAAACAATGAGGCTCATGGACATTAGAAAAGGGATGCTTCCTTCTGCTAATACAATAAATATCTAGTACTCTTAAGTAATAGAGAAAATGAAAGGGAAAGAGAAAGTTTTGGACTTTGCTTTATATTTTAAATAAGATTTAAATTTTAGTAGTATAATAGTTCCAGTTTTCTGATGAGAATATCTATTTTCCAAGTATAGTATTTACCAGATACTAGCTAACTAAATTTATGAAACATTGAAAATAAAAATGTGCTCCTATTATTCAATTTAGATAATGAGTCTAGAACAATCATTATTACTTTTCCACTAATTCAACTACTCAGACTCAAAGTTGTAATTTAGTAAAGTCTAATCAACATGGAAGCATCACAAAATAAAATATTCCCAATAGCTTGTTAAGAGTAATTTTCACCTTGGGATAGGAGTAGCAGAGACTTAAATGCCTGCCATCATCCCTGCCCCAGTTTGCAAATGCTTCCTTCCATAAGAGGCAGCAAACATCCCACTTCACTCTGCTACAGTAAGAAGAAGAGCCTCAGTTCTGGTGGTGTGAACACTTTGCGTGACTCCTGCATTCCTAGGCGTTCCTACTTGTCTCCTCTCTTGAAACCTAACAGTGTTGACCCAGCCTGCCACTGGGCAGAGCTTAATCACACATACCACTTGCATCACACTGCAGTGCCCCAAGCATCCACCACTGAGTTACTACTACCTCTGTCAGTGGGGGATAATGCTCCTAGGCTGGCAAAAATATTCATTTTCAAAACTGAAGCCAAATTTCACAAAGGAAAGGCATTCAGGGGGCAAAAACTCATGTGGTTTTCCATTTAGATTGTGGAACTCTTGAAGAAAAAGGCCTGCTATACAGAAATCACAACAGAAGGTAGGCACAACTGTAAAAGTGGATGTCAATGCAGAGCCAGCACATGGAGAAAACATGCCTACCAAGCATGAGTCCTGAAGAGGCAGCTTCTGAAAATAGACGACAAAGTTTTTTACACTGCTGTATCCCACAGTGATTCACAGAGATTAAGTACTGAATGAATATCAGCTGAGTGAAATAAAAAAATCTCACCAGCAGGTATGGTGGTATACACTGTAATTCCAGCTACTCAAAAGAATCACAAGTTCAAGGCCAGCCTCTGCAATTTATCAAGACCTTGTCTCAAGATCAAATAAAAAGGGGCTGGGGCTGTAACTCAGTGGTAGAATGCTTGCCTAGCATGTATGTGGTCCTAGATTCAATCTCCAGTACTGGGGAAAAAATACATATTACCAGGCTTATAGGACTGTAAACAAATAAGAAGTTGTGCTTTCTTTGCTGGTCTTGCAAATACTCTTTAAAAAGTGTTCCTGCACTGATGCCACAACCTTTTAGTTAAAGGAGGACGATGTAACCCATATTGTGACCATTTAGAGGGACTTATTCACAGGAGATAGCATGCATAAGATTAACAATACAGAGAGAGTAACTTACTCTAAAAGAATTCAAAATAAAATCTTAATTCCTTGGGTGACAATAATTCCTTGGTCATTAGGGCACTGTGTTATCTTGAAAGAAGAAAAACTGTTTTAAAGACATTGCAAAGTTTCTCTCTTCCTTTCTCATGGTAAAGCTAAAAACAGACAATGGGCTAAAGCAATGGTATTCAGTTTCCACCAGTTCCAAGGTGAACTGGGTAGGTCACTACAAAGAAGCCTCAAGAATACACAGTGATTGGGCTGGGATTGTGGCTCAGTGGTAGAGCAATCCCCTAGTAAGGGCGGGACCCAGGTTCCATTCTCAGCACCACATAAAAATAAAGGCATTGTGTTGTGTCCATCTACAAAAAAGATTCTCTCTCTTAAAAAAAAAAAAAAAAAAGAATACACAGTGATCTACTAATGGTCACGAAGCTATTCAAACAGCCTAATAATTAGTAGAGCTAAGAAGAGACTTTCCACTGTTGATCACTTTATATCAGTTCCCTTTACCATGGGCATCCACAAAAATATTTTGTTTTGTACCACTGAATATCCATAGTTTAAATTTACCCTACTTTTATATCATGTCCCTTCATGCCCCATCACTACCATCAAGACCACAGTTCTAGGAGAAGAAGAACCATCTCTCACCTTCTGTCTTTAAGCTACATAATGGCTCAAATGCCCAGTCCCCTACAGAGCTTTCTGTAAATAGCCTGTCCTCAGCAGGAGGGAATCTCTGTCCTTGCTTCCTCTGAGGGTTGAGTATTAGTCTGCCCTACTCTTTTACTTCAAGATTTTAGCACGTCTTCATTTTAAATGTTTCACGCCCCAGGAGAATTAAAAGAAGTTTTTCTTCACAAAACATCTGAGGTCCATGTATTTAATATCCAAACTTTAAAAAAAAAAAAAAAAGCTAGCCAATGGTAGACACTTATGAATCAGCTAAATTATGATTTGGCCATTTTTCTTTTACAGCAATTATCTTTGGCTTTCAGACAAAAATGAATGATTAGGGTTTTGAATCTCTTCTGGCAAAGAAATACACAGCATGAGCTGAATGCTTAACTTTGTTCATGTCAGTAGAACAAGTTCTATAGATATGAATTTGCAGAGTTAATCCTCCTTCATTATCTCCATTAGTTAACAATGCACATGGAGTCACTCACTGCACATAATTACTGCTCTACCAGACACGGACATTGAAATATTAACTTTCCCACAGACTCAAAATCTTCAGTAAGCAGCTCTTAACAATTCATCATATTAATAATATATGTCACCACAGTCCTATTAAATATTCATGAGATTAAATATCTGTTTTGGAAACATTTTTTGTAATATTTGTTATATTTTAGATGCTATAATTATAACTGAAGGATAAGGAAAACAACCCCCAGGGAAAAGGGGAAACAACAACTCCCAAGAAGAAAGGAGGACAATGGGTCCCGAGGAATTCAGGAAACAATGGGCTCTGAACTTTCACAATTTCTCCTTCTACAACTATTTCCCTGACTGCTCACCTGACATATTCTGCTATAATTAAATCTATATGGTTAAGTCTCACTACCCATGCTGATATGGTGATTAAGTCTCACTTAAACCCTACAAAAATCAGACCCTTCTTGTAACCAGTTGCCATGTTCTCCCCTGAAAATGTGCCATTTTGTTGCTTAATAAAGAAAGCTTGCTGATCCATTGAGGTCTGTTCCCTGTTTCATTTATTTTTGCTTTCAATAACGGCACTTAGGTACCATGATAATAAAGGTAAGTTTAACTGTCTGTTTATAACCAGCAATAAAACTAAATCCACATTTATTCAATTTTTAATATGTTTCAAATGAGAATATTTCATTATACAATGTATAAGATATTTTTTAAAGTAATATGTTTATATCCTACAATTCACTCTTCAGAGCTCATTACTACCATTAATTCATGCTTATCTTTCTCATACTTACATAGCTATTTTTACTATACATGTATGTACCTATAAATAATCCATATATAATAAAATTATATGCAGTAGGATTACTAGTCTAAAATTGCATTAAAGAGGAGTAAATTGATTTTCTCAGGTATTTTGTAGGCAAATAACTAATTCCAAATTGAAACTCAACAAGAAATAAGCATGTAATACACTGATGTTTATATAAAAAAGTACACACTGTAAAAAGTCTTATTTGGCATATTAGAATGTTACATTTCTAATCAAATACTTTGTAAGCTTTTATAAAGTCTTTTTATTCAAATTATCACAAAAAAACTAGATATGATCTAAAAACAGCAAATAAAAAACTTAGCAGAAAAAGAAAATAAAATTTCAAATAAAGGTAAAAACATATCATTAACCTCAGATCATGTTATGTTACACTTTATGGCTGGAATCATAACAGGTTATTAAGCATATGATCGAAACAATAGCTACAGCCACAGCTACTTGTAGCAACTTAACTTACTGTGTGTGAGGCACTATTATTAGCACTTAACATTTATATCTCCTTTAATTTTTTTCTCATTTAATTTTCACAATAACCAAGTGAAATGGATGATAACATTATTTGCATTCTACAGATGAAAAAGAGGAGGTCTACACCAATTAAATAACTTGCCCAGGGTCACAAGCGTGGCAACAAAAGAGTCTGACTCCAGTTCTTCCCTTCCAACCATAACATCAGCACCAGCTCCCAACTCTGAACCCCATTTGCTCCTGGGGCCTTGGGCATGTCCTACAAAGTTTCTAAAGCTCATTTCCTTTAGCTACAAAGATGTAAATAATGTTAATATATACTAGTTATTGAAAAAAATGAGATAGTTCACAAAAAAGTACTGAGAAAAACATGAAACTACACAATGTTGGTTATTATGTTATTGATTAGAAAAGACAAGAAAATGTTGAAAATAATGAAAAACATACTAACTGGCTTTTAGTCAAAATTGTAGTATACCTAGTTAAATATTCCTCATTATCTTACCTTGCTTAACTCAGAAATGACTACGTGAAGGCAAACTGAATCAGTATAATTATTATACCTAAGAGATAGGGAAGCCATAATAAAATAAGATAAAAGTGAACAGTGAGGCTAGGAAAGTAGCCTTGGACATGGGCATCATGAAAACTGTTGTACTATCACATGTGGTCTTTCAGAGAGCTCTTCAAAACTAAGTCTTTTAAAAGCTCCCAACCCCAATTTACAATGTCTATACACACATAGTGACTTCTGACACTATTTAAATCCTTAGCCCAGAAAGGGAAAATAATATTCAAATCTTCATCATTCATCAATTTAAATACATTAACATTGGGTTTATTTTTTCATTGGTTTCATATTTTAAACAATATTTCATATATATTATGTCAGCCAAGATGCTAAAATAAGTATCACAAAATTTTAATATCAAGAAACTAAAATTCACCAAGGTTTATAATGTTAAGAAATGTATATACCTATGTATAGTAATATGTATGTTGTACATAAGCATGTTATCTCTATCACTCTGATTTAATATTAGAAAACCAAGAAAATCCCCTGGTATTTTTGGAATTATACCAATGAAGTACTTACTACATCAAAGACTAGGAAAAAAGATTAAGAAAATAAGCAGTAAAGGAAGTATTGAAAATTTCTTGACAAATACAGACCAATAACTACTTCTATTAAGAACATGAAATTAGTTTTTTATCCAAGTTAGAACAAGATGCAGAATTTAACAGAAAGCAATGGGATGAGTAACCTTTTGTTTTCTGTCCACAACACTGACTCAGGCAACCATGAACAATGCCCTATTACCCTTTTGCTAAACTTCTTTCTCACCCTGTCCCCATCCTCATTCCTGTGGAGCTTCTCAGCATCCAGCTATCACAGCTATCAGGATATTTAAATAAACAAGGTCCTGGGATGATGGTGTGATGACAGGCACCTAAAGAATGTAGCCCCATGCTCTCAAACACCATCACATTTTGCCTGGGCTTTCTTAGAGACTTGGGGTGTCACTACTCACAATTTAATGGCTATTTGTCTGTTCTAGATAATCAGTTAACCCCAAGCTTCAGCTTCCTTGTCTATAAAGTGAGGTAACTAGATTATTTGTAAAGTACTAAGACCTTGCCATTTTAGGAAATCTACATCCAACTTTCCAAGGTTCTGATAATTTTCTGAGGCATGTGATTTTTAAGTATCTTGTGACTTTTCAGCCTTTCTTGATGACTATAATGACTTAAAGAAAGTATACAGCCAAAAGAAAAGAGAGAAAAAAAAAAGAAAAACAGGGCCACATATTTTCAGCAATTCTTTAATCACTTTCAAGGCTTTCATACCATTAGATAAGGAATAAAGGAAACCTTTAATTGCATATGTCCACAAGTATGTGAAGTCAAATTGTTAAATTTTTACTTGATGATGGAAGATGAAAGAAAATCTAAGAATACATGGAATCTGCAAGGTCCTACCTACCTCCTGGCCGTTCATGCTCTCCATCAGTGTGCAAAAGCATGGCAATAGGCATGCCTACATTCTTGGATCTTCCAGCCACAACCACATTTTTCCCAAATGTTTCAATTCCTTAAAATACAGAGTTTGGTTTAAATGAAGAATCAACAACAAGAAACAAATTAAGCATCAGAACACTCAACTGAAACATTCTTTAAAAAGTTCTAATTAAATTTGGGTTTACGCAGCTTGTTTCTAACATGCCCACATTCAATTATTTATAAATATTTATTTTTATGCTTCTTGGATTTGTCACTTTCCCTTTGATTATGTCCTCATTTAAAAACCACAAACATCCTCAAGTTGCCATCAAATTAATTTTAAACATTGAGATTCACTCGAAGAGTTAGAAGTGCAAAGCCTTAAAATATATTAACTACTAATTACAAAATAAGCCAAGTACAACAATATCAAGCTTCACTGGCAATCAAATTTTGAGCAAAGCTGGAATAAAGTAAGTGAAAAAAAAGGATTTTGCACAGTGCTAATGTACTTCATTCCATACAAAAGAAGCACCAAACTTTCCATCTTAGAAAGATGAAAAAGATAAAGCCTGAAAATTCATATACTCTACCTCTTTGGAGCTCAGTTTCTTCATAAGTAAAATAAAGAAGTTGAAACTTAGGGTTTTCTAAGTATAATTATTTCAGAGTATGATTCCAGGATCTGCTTTCTCTTGGAGATTTTGTCTCAGAAAATAGCAGATTAGAATAGAGAAGATGTTGCCAGATAGGAGGTGATAGTGGTGGCAGCAGGAAAATCATCAACACACAAAGCAATTTGAGGTCAATTAACATAGAGGTAAATATCTCTACACTCCCAGGCAGTCTGTGAGAGCAAGACTGTATCTGGCATAGTAGAAGAACAAATGTTTACAGTGAAATCTTAGGTCAATAGACATGGCTTCTATAGGAACAACATGTTAGTTTATTAATGGAAAATATAACTCATTTTGAAAAAGTTTTCATCCAAATGCATGAAATTTATAGTTTAAAAGTAGGGAAACAAACTACAATTTGGAAAATTTACTCCCTACATGTTACAACTGCAGTGCCCATAACCTGGCACATGGCCTTCATTCCATTTTATTTTGGATTTGGTCTTTGACTTCTATAATTTTATACCTTTCTACAGACTGAAGTTTTGTGGCTTATTATTTCCGTCACTTTGCAAGGTTAAGGTAATTCTATCAAGGCAATCTGCAAATGCTCATTTCAGGTCCTAATACCTCTGTCCATCAGACCCCAAGTTACCAACCTGTTCTTTTAATTATTTCCCAAACAGCACCAGCAGTGGCAGGTATGAGAGAATGCTGATCAAGGCACAGTCTTCCAATATTGATAATATGAAATCCATCCACATCTTTTTCTGGGGAAATTCCATTGCATATTGTTCGCTCATCCACATGATCTGAAAAATAAATAAAATTGGTCTCATTTTAAAATTGCTGTTTATGTGGAAATATGGAATGTGAAATATAGGGACCAACAGTCACATCACTATGGTTCAGTTCCAGGAAAGATATAACACCCTTACTCTTTCCTTGCCACCAAAAAGCAAGCCAAGGGGGTCTTGACTAATAGCTGTTATTAATGACTCTTAGAGTATATGCTATTATAGGGTCAGAAGTGGCTGGATTGATGAGTCTTTGCCTCAAAAAGTTTGCATATTAAGAGTATTTAAACCCACTTTACTCTAATACAAAACATTTCTGTTAACAGGTTTCTATTCAATACTTTGAGCACTGCAGATTAAAGGGGCTTTATTATTGTGTTAAAAATAGCCATCACATGGTTAATTCAAGTTTCCTCTTAAGTTACATAAGGAAAAAGCAAATATCCAACACACACTTTCCATAAAGCATTAACACATTCAAATCTAAAATATCACTATGGTTTGCTATGCATAAGGAAAAGAACACAACCTGAATAATGAATTAATCAAGTGATATATGGCATACCAATCATCTCATTTAAAAAAGTATTGACATAAAATAGGTTCTTACTATTTTATGAAGAATCGTTTAGTTTACCTTTATCTCAATTATTAACTCATGTGCCTAACATATTTGGTATGTAAATACTTCTTTGTCCATTACAAAATGAATGCCATTTATACTGTGTGTGTGTGTATGTGTGTGTATGTGTGTGTGTGTGTGACTGTGCACGCACATGTGCTTTCTGGGGAATCAAATCCAGGACATCATATATACTAGGAAAAAGCTCTATCTATACATGTTTCTTCTTCTTTTTTCCCACCTATATATATATTTTTAAAAATCCTAAAAGCACAAAGTCCCAACTGTTTTTAAAGAATTATGTTTTGTTTCTGACATCTTTGTATTCTAAAGATGACAACTGCCACCTTACTTTACATATATCCAATTTACCATCATCAAGCTACGAAACTCCATTAAACATAAAAGTAGTCACTTTAATCACTTTCAAATAGAAACACTTTGGAATGTCTCTCTCATCAATAGTTTTTCATTTTTCATAACTTCACTCATTCTATAATGAGCAGGGTAAACCTCATCTATTTTCTCTAAAGCTAGAAGATCATTATAGATTCTAGCAAAACTTTAAATAATTACATGTTTAATTTACTATTTGAGGACAAAAATAATGGTTCCATTTTTCTAAAATCTGGAAGATGATGATGATTATGAAGATGGTGATGAGTCTTTTTTTAGTCATGCAGAAGTTTCATGATATGGATATTTTTGCAATAATTCAAAGGCTGTATAAATTAAAAGAAAAACAATTATATTTGAAGTTCTCATTTTCTAATAAGGGCCCAAGTTAGTTCATTAGTGAAAACTCTACTAATATATGTATGATATATGTATGAGCTGATCCATTTATTAAAAGAACTCAAAAAGGGCTCGTCTTTAGATTTTAAGAGCTATTTTACCAATAAGCCTGAGCTACATTGACTTTTAGCATCTACAGCTCTGTGCTGCGCATTCACTTAAAGAACACTGAAAAGACCTGCCCTCTGTGTCCTTCCTTCATTTCTTCCTCACTCCTGCCTCCTTCCCTTCCTTTCTTGGTTTTGTTTATTTGTTTGTTGTTTTGCATTTTTGTTGTTATTGTTGGGTTGTTTTTGTTTTTTTTAGTCCTGGACATCCAGCTCAGGGTCTTGGGTATGCTAAGCACATGTTCTACCGGAGTTATACCCTACCCTTTGTGTACCTCTTGTACTTCGTTTTTAAAAATCTTTGGGCCACTGATAAAGAATGTGTTATTTAATAAACAGCATTAGGGAAATTCCCACGTGAACAAAAGGGATTTTTACTTTATACAACCCACAAAAGTAGGTTCTGAATGTATTACATTAAAAATTAATGTTTATGACTCAAATTTAACAAACTATCTTTATGAGAGCAAAGTCCTCTTATATACTTATTTAACTTCTACTCACATCATACCTTAGATCATTATTCCATAACAATTTTGTCTTGAGCTACTTAAGTGTTAGTAGTTTTAAAAGACAGATGTGTGGACATTCAAATGGTATGACACAGGATTCAATTAGCTAAGGTTATTTAGTCTAAAAGGAAGGATTTCATATGAATAGAGGAAAAAAGATTAAGATCAGAAAAATTAAGAAATCCAATTCATTTGTCATTTTTATGAAATTCTGTGTTATGTCAGCAGTAGATTAAATTTCACATACATCCTGTGCCAAGAAAGATTTACTTTTTCTAATGTAATGTGAAATATATAGTAATAATTTGAGTTAGCGTACCTTACATTTAAATAGTGATTTATAATGACTTTCCTAGTTACTGGGGACTAAGGTAGAAAATGTTAATTATTTTGAAGCCTAGGATCAAAGACTTTGAAATTCAGCCAATCTTAGATAATTTCTAAGAAAGGGATCTGGAATTCAAATTTATATCCTTTTGCTATAAAACCAGCTTTTCCTTCTGTATTATACAGAAGTCATAAAAATGCTAATAATGTTAAATACCATTCAAAGAGTAAAGTAAGAGAGGCCTCTCCCACCCCAACTCCTAGTAAGACATTTGATAACCCTAACATATCCCAAGAAATGTACTGTTTCATCTAAGACTTCAAACACAACACTATTACTGGATTAAATGTTATATGTCTAAGCACATGCAAAAAATATCAAATATTTTTCAATTAATAATCTTACCTTTTGATATTTCAGTAAGAGAAATAAATACGTTTCATAATTTTGAATGACTTACCTGAAGTCACCCTTAGGACATATGATTAGAAGATTCACTAATACCAGTTTTGTCACAGTATTTATAAAAACATTTTTGGTTCTCAGAAGCAATTTTATAACCTTACAGTGGTAAACAGGACACTCATGATCTCTACTACTCCAAACCCCAATCATCTATCTGATCTCATCACTAACTACTCTTTTCTCAATTAGCATCACACTAGTCTCCTTGTTCTTCCTCAAAAAAGTTAGGCATTTTCCCACCTTGGCTACAGCCTTCTGTCATGGAAGGTTTTTTTTTTTTTTTTTTCTAAAAACAAACAAACAAAAACAATCAAAAACTGTCTTGTCACCTTAGCTAAACTATTACCTTCATTCAAATGTTTCCTTACACGACTACATGACACATTTTCACTAATACACCCACTATTCAGATCACACCATTTTAAAATATATGATCTACTTCTAATAATAGTTAAGTAGCTTATATTAAATCAAACATCTCATAGAAAACAACTGCAATCTTTGGAAAAATCATTAAATAAAACCAACTGTCAAAAAAAATGGAGAGTCATTAAAAGCAGACAGATTTGGTGGAAGTGGATATCTGCAAGAAAGGAATATCACCGAAGAAACTTCCTATTTTGGAGGTTTTTATAGCTACAGGACAGCTGGAATTTGGGTAGAAATTCACAGCCTTACTTGATTAAGGAATCAAAGGATGAAGTTTGGGGCTACTACCACAGTGGAAAAGGAGAAGCCACACCCAGGAGACCCAAACATTGTATATAAAATCTCCACAGACACACAAAGAAAGCAAACTTCTAGAAGCCCCTTTAAGGTGAACAACACCAAATGAATGAAAGTTTTAGCTTGAAACACTAAAATAGAAACAAATTTTAAAGTCTTCAATTTGTTATAGACATGTTCAAAAAAACCCAGCAACTTAACATCATACTTAGTAGTAAAATACTGAAACTTTTCACTTAAAATCAGAAGAGTATCCAATCCCAACATTTTTATTTAATGTTTTATTGCAGATCTTACCTAGTGCTAACAAGATTAAAGAAAAAGACATAGAGTTCAGAAAGAAATAAGTAAAACTCTCATTACAGATAGCATAGATGTTTATGTTGAGTATCCCACAAATTTTATAAAATAATGACTAGAACTATTAAAGTCACTTTAACAAGATCACATTGTACAACCAATTATATTTCTGCCCATAAGCAGAAACTATTAGAAAATGAAATTTTAAAAAATGCTATTCACAGTACTATTCACAAATACTATTTACAATACTAATCATAATGCTTACAAATTTATTAATGCTTACAATTTATTAATTCCCTAGGAATAAATTTTTCAAATTTAAGGATGATTTCCATAACAAGAATTACAAAATACTGTTAACAGTTTTACCTTAATAAATTCAGGGTATATCATGTTTATGAAGAGAAGACTCAATAAAGTTGTATCAAGAGTCCTAAATGAATCTATGCTTTCACTACAATATTGATCATAATCCTATGAGGTTTGTTATTAGATTCTAAAATATATATGAAGATATAAAGAATTTAGAATATTTAAAACAATCTTGAAAATTACCAGAGTTAGAAAAATTACACCACTTTTATGCTAAAAAGCTATAATTAACAAGAAAATGTGGCACTGGCATAAGGATAGACAATTAGATCTATGGAACAGAACTGAGAGTCCAGTTTTGGAATTATACTCATAAAGTCATTTGATATTTTACAAAAGTACCATGGTGTGTTAGTCAGCTTTTCCTCACAGTGACAAAATACCTTCCAGTAGCACCATGGAATGTAAACCAAGCCTTTAATACATGGGACTTTGGAAGACATTAAAGATGCAAACTACAACACATGGCAATCAAATTCTTATTAACAAATAGTACTTGAATACCTGGGAAGCCATGTTGGTGGGAGGAACTAATCATAATACCTGCTTCATACTATACAGAAAAATTAACTGAAAATTGATTATAAACTTAAGCATAAAAGCTAAAAACTATACAGTTACTGAGTGAAACTTAGAAGAATATTTTTATGGGCTGGGTTAAAGCAAAAACTTTTTTTTAAGCAGGGAAGAAATTTTATTTATCAGTTTCCAAAGATAGAAAGGAAAATTCTGCATAAGACTAACATAAATTGTAAATGACATTTAAAAGATATCACATGTGAAAG